TCTTCAGCTCGCCCACATGCACTCGCTCCCTAATTGTCTCATTTCTCACCTTGTCCATTATTGTCAACCCCAACGACCACCTCAAAATTTTCATTTCTGCTACCTGCATCCTCTCTTCTTGGACCTTCGTCACCGCCACTGTTTCCATTCCGTATATCATTGCCGGCCTCACCAACGTCTTATACAGTCTACCTTTTACTTTCTCTGGCACGTTCTTGTCACACATGACACCTGTGATCTTCTTCCAAGCTCCCCACCCTGCCTGGATCCTTTTGGTTACCTCCTTGTCTGAACCACCATCTTCTTGCACTATAGAACCCAGATACTTGAACTCCCTCACCTGTGCTATTGCCTCTCCTTGTAGCTTCACTTCAGTGTCCTCTTCGTTGTCACTGCCTTCCCCTTTAACTTTCAGCTTCAGGTATTCTGTCTTTTGCCTACTCACTTTCATACCTCTGTCCTCCATTGCACCCCGCCACAGTTCCAGTCTCTCTTCAATTTCATTCCTCCTTTTCCCGCACACCACGACATCGTCCGCAAACAGCATATCCCATGGCGCATCCCTCTGCACTTCTTGGGTTAGACAGTCGATTATGATCGCGAACAGGAAAGGGCTGCGTGCAGAGCCCTGATGCAGTCCAACCACAACCTCAAAGACCTCCGTCTCTCCTGCCGCACATCTGACTTGGGTCTGACACCCTTTGTACGTGTCTTGGATGAGACGAATGTGCTTTTCTCCCACCCCTTTCAGCTGCAGACAGTTCCATATTTCCTGCCGGGGTACCCGATCGTATGCCTTTTCTAGGTCGATGAAGATACAGTGCAGGTCTTCTTCGCCATCCCTGTACGTTTCCATCAGCTGTCGCAGCGCAAATATGGCATCAGATGTGCTCTGTCCTGGCATGAAACCGAACTGCTGTTCTGACACTGTCACCCTGCTTCTCAGTCTTTTGTCAATTATCCTTTCCCACAGTTTCAAAGTGTGAGATGTGAGCTTTATACCACGGTAGTTTCCGCAATCCTGGATATCACCTTTGCTCTTATAAATAGGGATCAGAGTACTATTTCTCCACTCATCAGGCATCCGCTCTGTCTCCATGATCTTCTCAAACACTTCTGTCAACCATCTAATTCCTGTCCTACCCAGCACTTTCCAAGCTTCAACCGGGATATCGTCTGGCCCTACCGCCTTTCCTCTCTTCATCTTCTTCATGGCCTCCTCCACCTCTCTTTCGCTGACCCTATTTACCTCTTGTTCCTCGGCTGGTTCAATCTCCCTCTCTATCCTTGGGTTTTCCTCATTCATAAGATGCTGGTAGTACTCTTTCCATCTCTCTCTAATTTGTGTGTCATCTGCCAATACTTGTCCATTCCTGTCTTTTACCATCTTTGCCTGGTATACATCTTGGGATTTCTTGTTTCTCTGTTTCGCCAGTCTGATCGCTTTCTGCTGCCCATCCGGCCCCTCTAGGCTGTTGTACAGGTCCTCATATGCTGCTCTCTTTGCTTTTGCCACTGCTTTCTTAGCATCTTTATTTGCCTTCTTATATGCTTCAATTGTTGCCTCACATCTATTTAGGTCCCTGTCTCTCTTCCTTTCCCTTTTTACTTTGATTGCCTCCTGTACTTCCTCCCACCACCACGTTTCTTCTTTCTTTCCCTTCTTTCCCGATGTTACTGTCATAACCTCCTTCGCAACTTCCTTCACAGCGGTACTCAACCTCTCCCATGATATCTCTTCTGCACCCATCTTTCTTTCCAATTTCTGGACAAACTCTTCTTGATGTACTTTTGAGTTCAACTTCCACCATCGAGTCTTCGGAATGCTGTATGTTTTCTGTTTCTCTTTAGTCTGCAGCATCGCTTTACAGATCACTAGCTTATGCTGTCTGGCTATCGCTTCCTTTGGCAATACATAGCAGTTTTGAACTCTCTTTAGTTCCTCCCTCCTGCACATGATGTAGTCGACCTGTGTGTTTAGCCCTCCGCTGGAATAAGTCACCCTCCTACTCAACCTCTTCCGGAAGTATGTGTTAACCACCGCCATTTTGTTTGCTGTCGCAAAGTCCACTATCCTTTCACCTTTATCATTTCTTGTGCCCACTCCGTACTTCCCCAATATTTCCGTATCCCGGCTTCCTTCTCCAACGTGCCCGTTTAGGTCCCCACCAATCCATGTCTCCTCCGCTACTGGGATTCCTACCATGACACTCCCAAGCTTTTCCCAAAACTCATCTTTCTCCTCCTCAGGGCAACCAACTTGCGGCGCGTAGGCGCAGATGACATTCACAATCACTTTCTCCACTGCCATCTTCAACCACATCACTCTGTCAGACACTCTGTTAACCTGTAATATCCCTTCCTTCATCTCAGGACTTAGCACTATTCCCACTTCTACACCCGCGTAGTAAAGTTTATAACCCTCTCCGAGTTCCTTTGCCTTCTGTCCTTTCCATCTGGTTTCCTGCAAGCACATCACATCAATTCTCTTCCTCTCCAT